CTTCGGCCTGCAGAAATTAGGTTACAGCAAATTACGAGATGGTCAGAGACGAGTCGTGGAGGCTTATCTCACTGGAAAGGACGTGTTTTTTTGCTCTCTGACTGAATTGGGCAAATCGTTATGCTTTGAGATTGCTCCGTTTGTTTTTGAGGGAATTGAAGTGGGAGTCGAAAATGCAGAAAAACAAACAGATATATCCTCCATTTGTCTTGTGGTGGCCCCTCTCATGTCATTAATGAAGGACCAAGTTGCTGGCTTGAAAAGTCGTGGCATAGCAGCAGCCATTATCGGCCCTGAAAGTACTGCCACCGAAATGAAAGACATTCGACTTGTTCGGTTCAACCTTTTGTTTGGCAGTCGTGAGGCTCTGTTGAACTCTCACAGAACCATCATTCGAGACTTAAAGGATTTGACCAAAGCTGTTTTTGTCGACGAAAGTCACCGTATTGCAAAATGGTAAGCATGAGGTTTAAGACAGAAACTATGAGGAAACTGAGCACGTCAATCATTTTTCGCGTGTGAATTTATAATGTGATTCAAATCTATTCAGGCTAAACAAGTCGACCTCGCGACCTCCTCGCTCGGTTGCTTTGCGACCTTGCACGCTCACACTCGACACAGTTGCGAGAGGTTGACTTGAAGCAAGTCTATGGGGGAGGTAAATGAAGCCAGTCCACACAGGGAAAGGAAAGCATGTTAAGTCCAGCATATTCTCAAGAGAAGTTGTTTTATTAAGGCGGCCTGATGACAGCATGGCGAGGGGTGCAGCAAAGGCTCAATTACAGTGGTTGGGCCATGTCATTAGTGACTTTCAGTTTGACAGGACTTGGCATGCTAATGTGGTCTTGGAGAAATTACTATCTGCCTTCGAAACATCCGTGTCATCACTAGCTGAGATCACCTGCAATCCGAAGTAAGTTCTACATTTGTGATCCATTGGTGGTTAACTGGGATAACAGATCTCATAAAAACCAAACATTGAAAAAACACTCAGAAAATGTGTAGAGTTGAGTTGATCACCTTGCTTACACAGCTGAGTAACGAGTAGTTCCAGAATGATGAAGCCAAGGGGGTAAGGAGGAATGTGTTTCAGGCTAAAATGGGGTTTTCCAAAGTTTGAATTTTCAGTATAAAACTCAATATTTCCTCTGAGCCAAAAACAGCTTCCTTTTAAATTTATGATTCTCAACAACAGCAATATCAGTTCAAAAGAAAATACTTTACGTTTACCGGTGCAAGAATAAGCTACGCCAAAAACTACTGTTTGATTTAAACAAAAGATTGATGAAGGTTGCAAAAATTCTGCGACCAGTCGCTTTAATAAATTCCATTATGACATGTTACTGCTTTTAGATGTCAAATCTACAAAGGAAGAAGAAATTCTGCAGCCACTAACTTTAATAAATTCTGTTAAGACATCACTGATTCAAGATGTCAAGACCATAAAGGACACAGAAATTCTGCAACCAGTCGCTTAAATAAATTCAGTTAAAACATCACTCTTTTCGCACTTCAAATCCATGAAGGCTGCAGAAATTCTGTATCATGTTAATAAATTCCGTTAAAACATCACTGATTCAAGATGTCAAGTCCATATAGGATGCAGAAATTCTGCAACCAGTCGCTTAATTAAATTCAGTTAAAACATCACTGTTTTTGGACATCAAATCCATGAAGGACACAGAAATTCTGCAACCAGTCGCTTAATTAAATTCAGTTAAAGCATCACTGGTTTTGGACATCAAATCCATTAAGCACGCAGAAATTCTGCAACCAGTCGTTTTAACAAATTCTGCTAAAACATCACTGATTCAAGACATCAGGTCCATAACAGATGCAGAAATTCTGCAACAAGTCGCTTTAAAAAAAAACTTGGTTAAAACATGACTGAACAACTAAGTCTATGAAAGATAAAGAAATTCTAAATTTTCATTTACTTGATGAGCAAAACAGGTCTGTGTACAGTCGTTGCCGCTTAACGACTTCAAATCGTTTATGAGATGACATTTATTGCACGAATGTGCAGCACATTTATTTTATATTAGATACATTGAAATGGCACCCAGTTTAAACATATTTACATTACCTTTATTTTCCGTAAAAGAATAGGCTTTGTCAATAATTTAACTATAAAACATTGCGATAACACAAAAGTTAAAACCATCACGGTTAAAAACTCTAAAAACTGTAAAAAACTCTAAAAAGCGACGATGTTTCGACGTTTACTCGACGTCATTTTCAAGTCAAAATGAATAAGAAAATGTTATTTGAATATAAATGTACAAAACAAATCCTTAGAGACTTAAATAAAACACTATTAAATGCGAGAAATATTTGCACGCAGTGTCACGTAAACAGTTTAGCACGAACAGAGTGGGTCTGGGTATTTAGACCAGGTTTTAGCTCCTTAATAAACAACATCTCGAATATTAAGCAGTCAAACTTCGTTCTACATTTCCTCAAAATTGAGAATTGTTTGACTTTCAAATCAGACTTTGATAGGCCATGGTCTTCCAAGTGTCTTCCAATTGCAGAATGTTTATGCTCACCAATGCGTTGGTGCAAGTGTTGGGTTGTGTACCCGACATAATCTGTGTCACACAGATCACACTGAAATTTGTAGACCATGCACTGATTGTTGACAATCGGCAGCTTGTTGACAATCGTTCGTGCTAGTGTTTACATGACACTGCGTGCAAATATTTCTCACATTTAATAGTGTTTTATTTCAGTCTCTAAGGATTTGTTTTGTATATTTATGTTCAAATAACATTTTCTTATTCATTTTGACTTGAAAATGACATTGAGTAAATGTCGAAACATCGTCACTTTTTAGAGTTTTTTAGTTTTTAGAGTTTTTAACCGTGATGGTTTTAACTTTTGTCTTATTGCAATACCTTAATTTCCATTAAAACAACCAATTTTATGAATCTATTTACCGTGTCTGACAAAACTGTGAGAAGAGGCTAAATGTTCAATGCGCTTTGAACTCCGATGACCTTCCTATAGATTTGCGCTGTTTGCATTGTTTTTTTGCAAAGTGTACTTATTCTTTGAATGCTTTCTTGTTGTAGGCTGCAATTTCATGTCAGTAGTCAGGTCAAATGAAGGAATTATTATGCACTCCTTTGGCAATTTATCAATCCATGGTTCGGTTGATCTGATTTTATTTTGAGGGGCCCACTTGCCAAAGTGCATTCCTTTCGAGTAATGGATTTTAAATTCATCCTCCAATAGCTCTTTGATAATGTCAATCACTGGCTCTTTATTTTATTTTGATAATAAAACAGCAACAAATTTTCCCACACAAAGGCCTTGAAAGAAACTGTCAACATGCTCCACAGGATTTTCTCTGTCTCGGTGCCACGTATCTTCCAGTGTAAATTTACAAAGAAAAAAGTACAATAAACCCTAAGTTTCTAAGGTTTCTTTAAAAAAAATGGGATCCGCAATGGTGAAAATTATTTTGATACACACTGCAACTACAACACACCAAATCAGCCTGGATGGACTAACAAACCAATGATTGTGAATTTGCAATGGCATTTCCAGAGTGGCCATTCAAAAAACAAAAAAACAAAACCGGCAAACCCCGAGAAAGCCCTGGGAGCAAGGATGAGATCCAATAACAAACTCAACCCACATATGACATGGGTCCGTTTTGATCTCAATTTGGCCCTGCTTTCTGTTTGTTATGTTTCTTGTGAGTTTTTCTATGATGGTGTTATTAATAGTGAATTGGAAATAACACATTCTATTTTAAAGCCAATTTAAAAGTATGGCCGTTGAGTATTTAAATTTTATACATTTTCACATTTAAATGATGTACATACCTGTCTTGTTGGATTTCTCTCCTTGTCCTGTAATACTTGCAAACTGTCTGGAACAGATATTTTGGGGGAATCCACATTCTTGTCCAGGGACCACTCCCACTCTTCTGGCAAAGCAAGCAGTTCGGCTACCTTACTGACCCACTTGGTGTCAAATGACTGTCACGAAATGACGAACATCCCCAGAAATATGATGGCATAATCCAGGACCAAGTGCAGAAAGGAATTGTGGAAGTTGTCCCAGATGAAGATTGTACAAACACCTAGAAACACTACATTCCACACCATGAGGTACTGACACCTGAGAAGACAACAAAACTTAGAATTGTGTTTGATGCCTCCGCAAAGACCGAGAAGAAGAATCAAAGCCTAAACGAAAGCCTTCACCGTGGCCCTGTCATATTGGAGGATCTATGTGGCCTTCTCTTGAGGTGCAGACTTCACAAAGTGGCGCTAGTTGCAGATGTAGAGAAAGCCTTCCTTCAAGTGGGTCTGCAACCTGATGATCAAGATGTAACAAGGTTCCTCTGGTTAAAAGATCCTTCCAAGCCTACCCTTGAGAACAATGTTCAAGTACTGAGATTCACCAGAGTCCAATTTGGTATGATTTCCAGCCATTTCTGTTGGCCGCAACAATCAAGAATCATCTAACCAAGGCTGTTACCCCCATCGCTCACCAGATAGCGGGTAATATGTATGTAGACAACATGATTACAGGAGTTGACACATCAACACAAGTAGATGAGCTACACAAAGAAGCCAAGACCATTTTCCATTCCACATCAATGAATGTTCGTGAGTGGGCTTCAAACTCCTCTGAATTTCTCCAGAATATCCCTGAATGTGATAGAACCAGTGCAGAAACCATGAAAGTCCTAGGAACCTCCTGGAATTTGACCACAGATACTATTTTCATCAATGGATCTCACAATCTCTCCTCCAAAGTGACCACAAAAAGAGAAGCATTGCAGTCTGTCAGCAGAATTTAAGACCCATTGGGTCTCTTTTCTCCAGCCACTCTGAATACAAAGCTGCTCATTCAGGAACTGTGGAAACAAGAAAAAGATTGGGACAAGACATTCAGTCAGTCACAGCAACAAGAATGGTGCAAGATATGTGAGAGCCTGACTCCACTGTCCTCTCAGCCATTACACAGATATATTGGAGGAGATGAACACACTGTTCTGCTTTACAGATGCTTCCACTAAAGCCTATTCAGCATCATACCTCTACTCTTCAGTAAATGGAAAAGCAACTGTCAACCTGGTGTTTTCCAAAGTACGTGTCGCCCCAGCCAAACCTCTCAGCATTCCAAGCTTGGAACTGTTAGGTGTTCTTATCAGAACGAGATGCCTTAACTATGTAACTCAACAACTTCAGTTGTCCATGGTAGATAGATTTCTGTGGACTGACTCACAGTGTGTTCTTCACTGGATGAAAACTTGTAAGCCATTACCTGTGTTTGTTCAGAACTGGATTAGAGAGATTACCTCACACATGAACATCAAGTTTGACTATGTGTCCACTTCACAAAATCCCGCTGATCTGGCTACCAGAGGTGTTCCAACAGATGAACTTATCCACAATAACTTGTGGTGGCATGGCCCATCATGTTGAACTGATCATCCATCACAATGGCCCTCATGGAAGTCAACACAGTTTGACAGCAAGATTTCTGAACAGAATACAAGTCTCCTAGGCCACGTGTTATGTATGAGATCACATCACTGGCTGGAATATTGAGAGACAGCAGCAAAATGTCCTTTGACAAGCCAGTTGCCCCCTTTGGCATCAGCAAAAGAAATGACTCCTCATTAACCAAACTACTCAGAGTGAGCTCTTGGGCTTTGCGATTTATCTGAAAACTACAGAAGAAGAGTACAATCAAAGGTCAGCTTACATCAGACGAAATAAGCCAAGCAAAGGTCATGTGGGAGAAGTATGTCCAGAAGAGTGCGTTCACACCAGAAATCAATGCAGTCAAAGAAAATTTAAGGAACAATCTGAAGAACCAATTAGGCCTGCAGTTGAAAAATCCCACCCAGAAATAGACAAATTAGAGAGGTGGATGACAGCTTCCTAAAGCAGTTCATCAGGAACATGGAAGAGCAATCCTCTGGAAACTACAAAGCATTGTTGCAGCTAAAGGTTTCCAGAATAAGGAAGAATTTAATATTGATAAGATTGACGAGAAATATATGACGTTCTCAGTGGGATGCACATTACTTTGGCTACTAAACTATTACATGAAAAATTCCTGAAAAACCCAAACTATCGTGGAAGAGTTGCCAGAGTTTATATTGGATTAAAGAATGATTAAGCTCTGTGGCTCGGAGCAATGCACAGTCATACAGGATCATTTCGTCATTGACTTACCTACAGGGATGAGGGTATTACAACTAATTCTAATGTTTTAATAATATCATTGAACTGCATGCACTGGTGAGAATTAAGGATTCTTATTGTCCTTTTTCCATCATGTTTCTTAGTACTCTTATTTTACAGAAAGATCGATTTTGGGACAAATATAACTTACATGAGGAGCTGACAACGGTTATTAAGCCAAAGTTTGTACATTTAGCGGAAGTGAATGGTATTTGAGGGCTGGGTCGGTTGTCAGGCTCTTTCTCTACTTATCGGTTTTTCTCGACGATATTATCTTCCTGGTAGCTGAATTTGAGGTTGTTTAGATTGTTCAAGCACTGCTTGCTTGTAAACGCCATATTTAAAATGAAACTTGTTGCTACTTCTGGGGTCTAAAAACCTTGCTCTGTCCATGCAGGAAATGAAATAAAGTTAAAACCTTTTGTGACATTCAACTCATGAGCAGCTTGGAAATCCGAGAGTTTGTTGCTGGTTACGTCAGAGTATCAACTGAGTGCACCCTCGTATCCGGCGTCTTTGTTCCCCTTGACTGGCGGTCCGGAACGAACTTGTTTCGTTAAGCCAGCATGTGCAGTGAGGAATGAAGACTCGAAGTACAAGATCAGGTAGGAGATTGCAATAGCCTGCAGGCAGGCTCACCTTTGAGTCACATGTGCGAGCGGCAAAGAGCAAAGCGATCTGGCAGGAAGGAGTCTGGTGAAGAAGCGCCAAGAAAGTGGGCCTGCCATGATCTCAGTAATTTTTTCATTTTTGCTTTGTCTGTGCGAAGTGAAATACCATTGGTCGAAAAGCGGGAAGGGCAAAAAACTATCATTTTATTATGTTTGATAAGGAGCGATTAAATCCCCAATGAGTCGGTAATTTACCGCACAATAAAAATTAAGTTGTCCACATTTGGAGTCAGAGGAAGAGTTGAATGCACCTATTACCGATGTTTTAACAAAGTCCCTGTCTATTTCTGGTTAAATTTCAAACTAGAAAGGAGCAGAACATAGCAGTTGAAAGTATGTTAATGAATCAAGACATACTTGTTGTGTTGCTGACTGCATATGGGAAGAGTTAAGAGGCGTCCTCTGTAAATTTCAACTATGGCCATTTGGACCAGAAAAAATCAAATTCCTCAAACTTTCACAGATAAATGGTCTAGATAAGTGATTCACAAAAATATAACTTTCAGTTCAATTCGATTTTTATTTTAGTGCTGGGGCCACCATCTTGGTTTTGCCCCTTTGAGAGGGCTTTCAGCAGCCATTTTAGGGCACATTTTTAACAATTTGCCGTACAAAGAAAATGATATAAATCCAGGAAAAAACCCTTTATTCAAGACAAGCAAATGTTTCTTGTTACATTGAGAGGCTGTTTTGGTAATTTGATCATCACCTGATTTTTTTACAAAATTTTAAATTTCTTCCCTTTTGGTTTACTCATGAAGCGTCATAAAAAAGGCAAAGTTTAAAGGAAAATATCGCCAAAAGTACATCACTTGAGATCCCAAAACTACCCTCTTTTTATTCGGAATAGTAACGATTTTTCGCCAAAAAACTGACCTATTGTCTTTTCCACGAGCGCTTTGTTGTTTTTCAACTCTAATTGCGTGACAAGGAATGGCGTGTTTTGTCCTTTGTGCCACCTTTATCTGGCGCCCTAAAATTTCGTATTTTAAGTAGCCCAAAAATTTTATTGCAGCTATTTGAAGAAGAAACCCTGTTCTTCCGCTGGATTAACTTCACGTAACTCCATGCCATGTACCAAGGCGCTCTTTTACCCTCTCAATTCTGCTTTTCTCTCTGGCCGCCGAAATGAGTGAAATATTGAAGAAAAGCAAAAATCGCCCAAAAATTCAGTTTGCGATGGAATCGGACAAATAACATTTCAGACTTTCGTAAATATGTGTTCTTTTCATTAAGATATTCAGATTTACCGTTTTGCTTATTTTTAAGCGAAGCTCAAATAATGCGTTGTTTGGAGCTCGTGAAACTGATGCGAGAGCCGCCAAAGCGATTTTTTTCGCCGTTCGCGTAAAGTAAAAATCTAATCGAACTTAAAGTATTTTTTCTAGAAATNTATTGAAGAAAAGCAAAAATCGCCCAAAAATTCAGTTTGCGATGGAATCGGACAAATAACATTTCAGACTGTTCGTAAATATGTGTTCTTTTCATTAAGATATTCAATGGCCAGATTTACTGTTTTGTTTATTTTTAAGCGAAGCTCAAATAATGCATTGTTTGGAGCTCGTGAAACTGATGTGAGAGCCGCCAAACCGATTTTGTCGCCGTTCGCGTAAAATAAAAATCTAATGGAACTTAAAGTATTTTTTTCTAGAAATAGTTCATCCAGACCTATATTTTGGCAAAGTTTGGGGATTTTCGATTTTTTCATTTTGCATACCTCCAGGCGAAATTCTGGGACAATTGCTCTTAATTACACACATGTATGCTTTAGGAAATATCTCACCTGGTGATGCCAACTTTCAGAAAAGTATTCTAGGGTGTCGGTGATGTGTCCAGTTCATAAATTTGACATGTTGACACTGGAAAAGTTTGTAAATCTGTTTTTTAACATTACTAGTACTGTTGGCCAACTGAAAATTGAATTAGTTATAGACAGGTTAACAAAAAGCTTGAAAAAATTGCCAAAGTTGGAAATTTCGCAGTGGTCCGTACTCAGGGTCCAGATGGGAAAATCCATACTGCTGGAGCATGCTCAATTAGCCAATCAGATTCAAGGATTTAGGATTCCAGACCGCTGAGACGCTGGAGAGAGAAATAAGAAAAGATATTTTCCAAGTCGCCAAAATTTCAGGTTATTCAGTTTTAACATGCACATCCCTATATGGCTACATACCTATACTAAAACCAACAGGGTTAAACCCTTAACCCCTACATCAGTCCATATTCCTCCCACAGATTGAATCCTCCCCCTCCCTAGCTAATAACTGAAATAAGAGTGTTTGCATATAAATTTGCTTTAGATTCACTCTACACATGGTTGGTACATACACGTATTAAGTATAGGCAAACTTTGAAGTTTGCCTTCAAATATAAACCATGACCAGTTCTTGCGATGAAATGAAGACAAAAATTCAATGACAAGAAGTGCTTAGTACAAAAGTTTGGGTTTTATCAAAAACATAATTGTATCTTACCTGATGATGCTTACATACAGTTTCCCTTACTGTCTTCATCAGTTATTGCACTCCATAAACTGGCACTGAATAATGTTTTTTTTTTTCTAATCCCATTAAAAACAAACAAACAAACAAAAAAACATCACTGTTAGTCCTCAAAAAGCAAATAGCAGTTATTAGTCTTTACACAGTCACATATTTTCTTTACATGATGTCCAATGTAAGTCATGTTCACTGATAAATTGTACCAATCTTAACATTTTTCTTACTTTCACTGCAACTTTTTGGAATGGCATTTATATTCCTCACTTGAAGACTGTTCACATAAGATTTAGTTGCCTCTGGGATCTCTATTCACAAAGAGTAAACACAAAATCATATCCTGCAAATGGTGACTAGTTTCAGCGAAAGAGAAGTTGGTCAGATTTTAATGTTTATAACTTTAGGTATCATAAGATCACACTTCACATTGTATATTTAACCTGTCACAAATGCATAGAGAGGGGGTGTGCTGGGAAAGAGATGTTCATTTCCCCTGCAACTGTCTGTACTTTTTCTCCTTACCTGTAATAGAAATGAACTCTGTCACTAATCACTAAACATCAGGTTATGTATGTGTAAATTTTGTCTTCTGCAGTTAGTGATTTAAAGAGAAACAACATTTAAAACCCTCTATACCGTTCAAACACGTACTTGATAACACTGCTAGCGCTATTGCCATACATGTGTAATAAAATGGAACACATCAATGGTTGGAAATTATGAAGGTTTCTCAGATACAATTTGACAAACTGAGTAACTCTTTTTCTTTCTTTTCATTTTCAAACTAAGATATAATGTAAACATTTAAACAATTAGTTAATGATACGGCATGCAGTTTTGCTCACCAGGAAAGTAAACCATCCCCTCAATTTAGAGAAGACTTTTTTTTCCTTCCAGTCAAATTCATCACCTGTACATCACAAAAAATAAAATAAAAAATAATAGTTTGCAAAAGCATACTCAACATTGTACAACCACAAAAATGTGTAGTAGTTCTAACACTGTAAAATCATGTAAGATTTCAATTTACCATTTCATGACAATATACAATCATCTATTTGCA